GGAACCAAAGCCCCAGTTCGTGGGATTGGACAAGCTCGTCCGACCTCTACCTTGGCCCTGACATCTGTCTATTACATTCCTGGCATCCCTTATAACTTAATTTCTATTAGTAAGTTGATCCACTCCCTCACTTGCACCATTACTTTCTCTAACCATTCTGTTTCTGTGCAGGATCCGGGTACGGGGAAAATGATTGGAGTGGGTCGTGAGTCACGAGGGCTTTATTATCTGGATGTGCCTCGTCCTTCAGTAGCATGCTCTCTCACAGAATCTCCACAACTTATCCACAGTCGCCTTGGTCATCCAAGTCTTTCAAAGTTGCAGAAAATGGTTCCTCTTTTGTCCGGTCTTCAGTCTTTAGATTGTGTGTCATGTCAACAAGGGAAGCATACACGCTCCTCTTTTGCCAGTCGAGTCAATAAACGAGCTGATGCCCCTTTCTCTCTTGTTCATTCAGATATCTGGGGTCCAAGTCGTACCTTGTCTGTCTTAAGTTTTCGGTATTTCGTTACCTTTATTGATGATTTTTCCCGTTGCACTTGGACCTATTTAATGAAAAATCGTTCCGAGCTATTTTCCATTTATAAAAAGTTTTCTACTGAGATCCATACTCAATTTGGTGTTTCTATTCGTATTCTACGTAGTGATAATGCTAAGGAATATGTTTCTATTGATTTTTCTAATTTCTTGGCCACACAAGGTACTTTACATCAAACTACTTGTCCTCACACTCCACAACAAAATGGGGTGGCTGAACGTAAAAACAGACATCTCATTGAAACTGCCCGTACCCTTCTTATTCATATGCAGGTTCCCTTCACTTCTGGGCAGATGCTGTACTCATCTCTTGTTTTCTCATCAATCGCATGCCTTCATCTGTGCTCCACAATGACATTCCTCATAATCTATTGCTTCCAGATGTTCCTCTTTATCCTCTAACTCCACATGTCTTTGGTTGTACTTGTTTTGTTCATGATCTCACTCCTGGTAAGGATAAGTTAACATCCAAAGCCTTTCAGTGTATCTTTCTTGGTTATTCTCGTCTTCAAAAGGGTTATCGTTGTTATTCTCCCGACCTTAAGCGTTACTTAGTTTCCGCTGATGTCACTTTTCTTGATCAACAACCCTTTAATTCTATCCCATCTCAGATGTCACAGGTTGATCATGTACTTCCTGTCCCTTTTCTTGACTTGTCTTTGCCAGCTGCAGGTGCTTCTATTCCAGATGAGCAACCTATTGCTTCTATACCTGAGGACCGTCCACTTCTCACCTATCAGCGTCGCAAAACTGTGCTTCCTGTCGACTCGACTCTTGCTGACTCATCGCCCACTGCTGTTGCTTCTTCTCCTCCGGATCCTTCATCAGAGACTCTTCCCATTGCTCAAAGAAAAGGTACACGTACTACTCGTAACCCTTATCCTCTTTATACCTTTTTGAGTTATGACCGTCTTTCTTCACCTCATTTCACCTTTGTTTCTAGTCTTTCTTCTATTTCTATTCCTAAGACCACAGGTGAAGCACTTTCCCATCCAGGGTGGCGCCAAGCAATGCTTGATGAGATGACTGCACTTCATTCCAATGGCACTTGGGACCTTGTTTCTGCTCCTCCAGAGAAGTCTATAGTCGGTTGTCGCTGGGTTTTTACTGTGAAAGTTGGACCTGATGACCATATTGATCGTCTCAAGGCACGTTTAGTTGCCAAGGGTTTTACTCAAATCTTTGGCCTTGATTATAGCGATACATTTTCTCCGGTCGCTAAGATGGCGTCAGTCCGCCTCTTTCTTGCCCTTGCTGCTGTTCGTCACTGGCCACTCCTTCAACTTGACATCAAAAATGTCTTTCTTCATGGTGATTTACAAGAAGAAGTTTACATGGAGCAACCACCTGGTTTTGTTGCTCAGGGAGAGTCTGGAAAGGTGTGTCGTCTTCGGAAATCCTTATATGGTCTCAAGCAGTCTCCTCGAGCATGGTTCAGTCGCTTCAGTTCTGCTGTTCAGGCGTTTGGCTTAATCCGCAGTAAAGTTGACCATTCTGTGTTTTATAGGATTACATCTCCTGATAAGTGTATCTATTTGTTAGCCTATGTTGACGACATCATTCTCACCGGAAGTGATCAAGACGGAATTCGTCAGTTAAAACAACATTTGTTTAGTACATTTCAAACAAAGGACCTTGGGAAGCTGCGTTACTTCTTGGGAATTGAGGTGGCGCAATCCAGACAGGGCATTTCTATCTGTCAAAGGAAATATGCCCTGGATATCCTAGAAGAAACTGGTATGTTGGGGAGTAAACCAGTTGATACACCTATGGATCTTAATGTCAAGTTATTGCCCGGACAGGGGGAGCCGTTATCTGATCCTGGACGTTATCGGAGGCTAATTGGGAAGCTCAACTATCTTACTGTGACTAGGCCAGATATTTCTTTCGCTGTTAGTACGGCTAGTCAGTTTCTTGATTCCCCTTGTGATTCACATTGGGATGCTGCTGTGAGGATCCTCCGATACATCAAAGGAGCACCAGGAAAAGGTTTGTTGTATTCAGATCAGGGAAATACAGAAATTTGTGGTTATTCAGATGCTGATTGGGCAGGATCACCCTCGGACAAGCGCTCTACTTCTGGCTATTGTGTCTTCTTTGGAGGAAACTTAATTTCGTGGAAGAGCAAGAAACAACCTGTTGTTTCTCGATCTAGTGCAGAAGCTGAGTATCGTGCAATGGCAAATGCTACCTGTGAGTTAGTCTGGTTAAAGCAGTTGATTCAGGAGCTTCATCTTTGTGAACAGAAACAACCCATAACACTCATCTGTGATAATCAAGCTGCGCTACATATATCCTCTAATCCTGTCTTTCATGAGAGGACCAAACATATAGAGATTGATTGTCACTTCATTCGAGAAAAGATTCAGTCAGGAGAAATCAAGACTGCTTTCGTCAACTCCTCTGATCAACTAGCGGATGTTTTCACTAAAGCTCTTAGAGGTCCTCGGGTTGAATACATTTGTAACAAGCTTGGTGCTCATAATATATACGCACCAGCTTGAGGGGGAGTGTTAGAATATTAGATATGATATGATTAGATAATATGTTTGTGGGAGTCTATTTTAAAGACGCTATAAGGGGTGGTAGATAACTGTGCACGAAAAGGCTCAAGGCCGAAGAAGATGGGGTGTGTGGAAGACAATTAAGAGAGTAGGGTTGGGAAAATGTGTACCTGAAAGGTTTGACCTGTAGGTTCGAAAAATTGCACCATAGACATACTATGGAGTGCATATATGGGTGGAAAAATAAAAAATTTGGTTGCGGAAGCATAGACCATCTATACACCCCATGTATGAATGCTTTACGTTGAATCGAGATGGGGTTTTAGAATTATCTTTTCACTTGTAGGCGCAAAAGGATGACGCCCTGATCCACACGGTTATCTCCTTCTTGCTAGCGAGAACTCTTTCTCCTTGATCCCTCCTTATCCTCGGTGGCTGGCTAGGCGCATGCAAGGAAGAGGCTACCAAGTGTTTGGAATCTCAAGTCGTGAAAGAGGAAAGCCAAGGGTCTACACCGAAGACTCGTGTGGAAAACGGCGGCAACAATGACAAAAGCGGCACATCTTATAGGCGATGGACGACGGAGGAAATGCGTGCGTTATGCAATATGGAATGGATAAGCTTTCTTCACGGGTTTGCGGCTGTTGAACCTTATGACACTGCATCTGCCAAACGATTTTACTGCACTTATGAAATTCTGGGAGAGCATATGATGAAGATGAATGGAGAGGAAGATGGGATTAAACTGTGGCGGAGTTTGGTAAGTCAGACAGAATTGACTGCTCAGTTGTGTTCAATCACTAGAGATGTATGGAATGTTCATGGCAATACCCAGAAGAAGATTGAAGAGGTTAAACAGTCACATTCTGGTCTTCTTTGTGAGCTTATCTGTTTTGAAGATCCAATACTATCACTTCTTGCACCAGGTGTCCTCATTATTGGGGTTTTACCTTCAGAATCATCAATATCCGAAACTGCATTGCATCCTTTGCGCTTTACTTTGAGTACAACAAATGGTGGAACTTGCAAAATCATTTATAAAAAAGGGGATAATCTTTGGCTGGACCAGTTCGTGATTCAAATGGTGTCACTAATGGATTGCTTGCTTAAGTTAGAAAATCTTGTTCTGCACTCAACACCATACAAGGTGCTAGCAACTGGGCAAGATGAAGGCATGTTGGAACTCATTCCATCGCAGTCAATATGCTTCAACCAATGGGATCCCGGTGGAAGAGTTTCTCAAACAATGGAATTGAAACGGCCTTTGTGTTAAAAATGCTTCACACAATGGGACCCGGGTGGAAGTATCTATCATTTCTCTTCACCTTCAAGACAAGGTGAATTTTTGAGGGGAGTATTGATGGGCCTATAATAAATAATCCAAGCCCATTAGTATTTTAGAATTAGTATATATAGAAGTTAAGGGGAATGTTTCTATTATTCAGGTATTCAGAATATTTGGAGTGAGGTTTTGCGAAAGGATCTCTTGGGATCTCTTTGGCCCAGGTATTTGGCTTTAGAGTGAGTGAGGTCTTTTAGTGTATATTTTCTGTATTTCCTTTTGTATTTTCTGCAATTTCAGATTTATAAAAAAAGGTTTCCATCAGACACCTATATACTAACATGAGCTACTATTTATAGATAGAATTACCTCTAGGTGGGAGAGTTTGAGTGAGAATCTAACTGTTGAGGATAGGATATTTGCTTATCCCAGTCGTTATTAGTTTGTGCCTGTAGATGTTGTGGGACCCACTGGGAGGTCAAGAACACCTTTATTATTGTATTATAGTCCTGTTCAAAATGACACTTTTATATTGCATTTGCCGTCTTTATTTTTTGGCTTCATTATCCATTACTTGAAGTTTTAGAATAATAGGTACTTGGTAATCTGTCACACTCTTCTCATAAGATTGAATGTTTGAAATATCTTCAGCAAAAGGCATATTTGATAAATTTCAGGAGAACAAGAATGTAGCTTCAAAGGAACAGGAAGATTGGAGCTGATGAAAAATGACATCAAGAACAATGCATCGTATTCTGGCTATGGTCCTAGAAATCTTTGGCCAAGTGTATCCAACTATGTCCTTCAAGTTTCATCACCTGATGATCCACAATCACCGGTGGCTTTCCTTTACTTTCTTGATTCTGGTGGTGGTTCCTATCCTGAAGTCATATCTAGTAGCCAGGCACAATGGTTTTCGCAGAAAGCTGAAGAAATTAACGCTGACTCAAGGTAGAATGAGAAAGCATCAAAATCAAAAGTTCTTTTGTTTTAAAGCTAAATGCATTATGTAGCAAGGAAAAGTTACATTTATATTGGATAAACAACTTTGTTCATTTCTTATGTGTTTTATTCAAATAAGTATATCAGTTAAATTATGTTGAAAAAGAATTCGTAGCATTGTCTTATTTTCTTCCCTTCCTTTTTGCATAATCCAAGCAAAACATATTGTGTGACAGTGTTCCAGAGATTCTTTTCTGGCATATTCCAAGTACGGCCTTTGAGGTGGTGGCTCCCAACATTAGCATACAAAAGCCTTGCGTGGGTTCAATCAACAAGGAAAGTGTTGCTCCTCAAGTAGCTGAAACGGGTATCATGGATCTTCTTGTGAACAGAACTTCTGTCAAGGTAAGGTCAAAGCCTGCATGCTATATTTGTATAAAGATTTTGTAAAAATTATCCACAAAACAAAAATCAAGCCCACAAAAAAACAATCGTTGGATTTTGAACCACCAAATGTGTTTGCTAGATGAGTAAGTTGTTGATTTCCATGGTTGACAAGGATAGTACTTGTTTGTCAAAAAAAAAATTTATGGGTATAAATATGCTTATTGGGAAGTTGTTTGAAGAATGAGAAGGGTTTTGGAAGAAATTATGAAAGTATTTTATTCAGACACTTCACATATTGTATTTATGTTGCATTTGATTTGTAGTTTACTTTCTTTTAGACGTGGATGTTCATCAATAAGGTTGGAAAGCTTTACTTAGATTGTTTGTTATAAATTTATAGTACTATTTGTTGTACGATTTGATCATCCCTTAAATATGAGAAACTACACTTGATTTTCTTAATTAGTGCATGTTTATTGCCCCATTGTCCATTTTCCTCCTATTTTAAGTCTTGGTACACCATGGGTTTGGCGCAGCCTAAAATCTTGAACACAATTAGCATCTCCTAATACTCGCCCAGCCAATCAATCATTTGCGTTGATACTAGAGTTGGTGACAGGGGGAGCCCATGGTAGGGGAGAACTTATATCATCAATGGGCTAAGCGGCAATCTCCTATAACAATTAGTCTCGATACTACATCTCAACCCAAAATCTTAAGGGGTTAAGTTCGTGGGTCTTTTCTCTTATATATTCATACTTAACTCATTCCTTTCCAATGCAAAACTTTATTGTTCTCACTTGAATTCCCAACACATTTTTACTTGTTGCATGCATCTAAAAGCAAACTATCCATTGAAATTTTAATTTTTTGCCATCTGGATACTCAGAAAAATCCTCCAAAAGTTCATTTTGTGTAGATGGGATTTCTAAAAATAGAACATTGAATGATGAAATATCTTCATTTGCTTGATGGACACCAAGTGTTATCCTATTTTGAGCTGTTTCCCTTTACATAACCGCAGGGAATATTTGTTGGACACAACCATGGATTGGACTGGTGCTGCCCATACAAGAAACTATGGTTATGTTATGCTAGGCACACTGGCTATGGTGGCCATGGAACTTGGCCTAGAGGAGCTCGAATATTAGAGATAACTCAAAAGCCCTTTTCTCTTCGATCTTGGATAAGGATGGAGGATGGCCAAATGCATAGTGAAGTAGTGTTGATGAGGTCAAAGTCATTACATATAAAAAGTGCAGCTACTAAATTTGTAAATGTATTCATTGTAATTATCTTCAGCTATATAGCTAGCATACATGTGGGGATGTAGATATTCAACTAATGGCCATGCCCTTTTCTTTTTAAAAATTCAACACTATTAACATACATTTTATCAACGTGAATGTACCACAAGTCTTGAAGCGTTTTTCTTGCTTGTTTGACCAATATTTTGGGGTAATCCCAATTCCTGAAGTTATCTCCCCTCGCCTGATAGCTTGTTAATTCGCCGCTCAAAAGCAAACTGGATAAAATTAATTGGTAATAGCGTGCTAATTTTTAGCATCATTTCGTATCAACATGATACAAGAAATTTGTGTTCAGATCTGTTTATTTGTAAATTCGTTTTTTTTTTATTTTTTTGGTAAATAATTCGTTTTTTGTTTCTATTACCAAAACTTGACACGAAAAAATTTATGCTATATTATGTGTTAACTTGCAAATACAACATTAATTCTTATTAATTTTTTTAAATATTCGTGTCAACTCATATAATTATTGCAAATACGATACTAATTCTTATTAATTTTTTTAAATATTTGTGTCAACTCATATAATAATTGAGACATGTTAATGTTGATGAGTTAATTATATCTTGTGATATTATGTCAACCCACAAAATAAGTGGATTGTATTCATATTGATGATTTTTACATAAATTTTTATTTATGTGATGCTCGTGTCAAATATATTTGTGTTCGTTTATACCCGACACGACACGAACATAACCAAATGACATGAATTAGCATGTCTAAACGACGAGAATACTAAATAAAAACTAAAGTCAAGCTTCGTAACAATTCTATTGTAAAAGCGCAAAAAGAAAAAAGAGAGAGAGAAATGATTACTCTGATTAATAAGATTACATTGATATGGTGCCAAATGAAGTAATTAGCGATGCGAGTGAATTCAGTTATATGCAGACCATTTTACCTTAACTCATCAAATGTCCAATTAAACTCGTTTGTTTAACGAAATAAACAAGTGTAAGTTTAATTTAAGCTTTATTGTACAAACAAATGAGTTAAGTTTCTATAATCTTGATTAAAAGCATGTGTGTGTAAAAAGAAAATGTGTAGATAATAATAATTTTTATTAATATTATTTAGCAAATTGTAATTATTTGTATTACTCTCTGCATTCAATTTGAGTGTTTAATGGCCAATTTTTTAACTATCGGTTTGGGAAGTTGGGCCAAAGTGGATTGGCTCCTGGATCAAGAGTGGGGCCCAGTTCAAGCCTGGTTTATCCGGAACTAAGCTTTTAATGGCCAATTTTTTAACTATCGATTTGGGAAGTTGGGCCAAAGTGGATTGGCTCCTGATTCAACAGGTCCAATTCGCTGATCCGGTTTATTTTTCTTAACTATGTTGTTTACTGGTTACCCAATCCAATGTTCATTACTCTATCTTTTAGTATAAAGATGTCTACTAAATAGTAAATTAATAATTTTTCTAAAGAAGTTTCACAAATAAAAAAAAATAATCGAGTTATTAATGAGTAAAACAAACTAAGCTCAAGCTTCACATTTTTAAATTAAGTTAAATTCAAATTTTAAATTTAACTCGTGTAAATCAATAAGTCACACATAAGTAGCGTTTTTTTGTTTTTTCCACAAGCCAAGCTTGAGTTTCTTCCCCATGAGTGCTTGACTTGACTTGCTTGCACCCCTGGATGTGATGATGCATAAGACTAATATAGTGGTCCAATTTATGTTAATAATTAGTTCAAGTACTAGCGTTAGTTCTATTTACTAAAAATTAGTTGAAGTACAAGTACAATCATACTAATACAATGAGATTATTATTATTTTATTTATTTTTTGATGAATGGGCAATGTCCAGAAAAGAAAGAAAATTATATCAGAAAATATCTAGCCAGAGCTAAAATCAGAAAAATACAACCCTTTAATGCCAAGGGGTGGAACATGAAATAAAATAAAATCCTCTTGTTTCAAATTTTCAAGAGAAAGATTAGCAAGCCAATCCACACAGAAATTATCTTCCCTATATGAATGCATAAGCCTGACAGCCTAAGATTTTGATAATTATTCTCATATCTGAGTCACTAAATGAGACTCACAGGATGCATCACCAGATTTGGTGAGCAGAGTGATAGCCGAAGCCGAATCGGTTTCTAACATGACCTTCCTCCAACCTCCTTCCCAAGCCCTTTCAGAATACCCCAAAGCTCAGATGTTATTGCATTGCAATGGCCTATTCTGTAAGAAAAAACTTCCAACCACCTTCCATCTGGTCCACGAGTAAGATCACCACAAGCAGCCCTTCCTGTTACCTTTAGAAGCTCCATCTGTGTTAAACTTGATCCACCCCTCATCTGGTGGAATCCATCTAATCCACTCCACAAATGAAATGCAATTAGATCTTTCTCTATCTTTTCTTGCAAAAACCGAAGCTACTTCCAAAACTTTAAATTTTATTATTTCTTGATTATACCTGCTTTCCACCCTACCTGATCCGTGTATAATCTCATTTCTCCAACTCCAAGCCTTTCAACAAATCATCCCAAAAATAATCATCCATGATATGCCAAATGAACTTATCGAAACTTGTAACAGATTCTCCAATAACCAGTCTTGTAAATTCAAATTAAAAAAAAAGTATCAGCTAAAAGAGGGGATATCTAAAGCCATAAATTTCTGATTTTTGAGCAATCCCTTAACAAATGCAAAGAATCCTCTTCTTCGTGGTTTGACACTGGACACGTTGATGGACACAAAAGAAACTTGTTATTTCTCTTCCTTATTGGTAATCTATCATGGGACACCTTCCAAAGAAAAAATTTAATTCTTTGAGGGGCCCATCCACTTCCATATTGCCTTCCACAAAACAGGTGTCCTACTCTGCACATTATAAGGATTTGAGAAGGCAGCATACAACCCCTTAATTGACAGTCTTGAATAACCAGGCATATACCATGATAATCTATCTACACCACTATTTCTACTAGGAGGGAGGGTACTCCTAATACGGATTAAGATTCTCTAATGTGAAGTTTTCACATGACCCTGTGATGTTAATCAATCTCAACCATTTGTTATTTTTAATAATAAATCAATGTTTTTTTTTTATATTTTTTATATTCTCTGTTCTCTCTCATCTATTTACTATTATTTCTTTCTTTTTACTTTACTCTCCCACATTTTCAGATGTTTTGGACAAACTTATTCAGAATTGAAAAATTAATTTCTCCTCATCTATGCCTCTGCTTCAACAAACCCTTTATCTCTGCTTCTGCTTCAACAAACCCTTCCGTCAATTTCGATCTCTTCCACTCTGGTATTTCATCACTACGCCATTTTCATATTCCAATTTTTTTTATTTATGTATTTTAATTTTTAAGCTCATTGCTTTTTGCAATGACCATGCTTATTCTGTAAGACTATAACTTTTTCCCCTTTTTATTGTCTAATAATAATTTTAATCATGATTATTTAAAAAAGCATAAATTAAGGGTTTTATTTATTTTTGTTATGGTCATGTTAAAGTTTTTTTTAAGGGGGATGGGTCAGTCTGCTTGTTGATGCCTGCAAATTTCTCTTGATTATTTATAAATTTTCAGTAAAAAGATTATATTTTTCAAGAATTTTTAATAAATTTCTCTTGCATGTCTAAAGGAAAATTTTTTGAAATGCAGGTTGAGCAATATGGCTGAACTTGTCCGTTGTCCATGGTTAAAACAACATTCAAATGCTAAAGTAATGAGTAAGCCTATGGAAACACTACAGTATATTTTTGAATTTTATATTTTCAAATAATTTGTTTATATTTAAATTTATTTATTTTGTTATGTTAGGATGGCAAGTGATTTAATTATTGCACAAAATGCACCATGCATGGGTGCAGAGTTAGAATGGCAACCAAGAAAAGGCCATACATTTAGTACTTTAGAAGAGGCATGGAAATTTTTTACTGAATATGGGGTTAGAATTGGATTTAATGTTCGAAAGCAATATTATAACAAGAACAAAAATGGAAGGATTTTGACTGTTAGATATGTATGTAGTAAAGAGGGTGTTCATAGAGTAGGCAAAATGGATCATTTAACTGTCAATCCTCGACTTGAAACTAGAACAAATTGTCCAATAAGATTGGGACTCAAATACATGAAAAATATTGAGAAGTATCAAATTCATAACTTTTGCGATGACCATAACCATCCTTTGCATCTTCTGGAGACAAGTCACATGCTAATATCTTAAAGAAAATTGTCTCAAGTTCAAGCTCATGAGATTGTTTTGGCTAATGATTCAGACCTTAAGCAAAAGACTTCATTTGAATTAATGAGTATACAAGTTGGTGGAAGAGAAAACCTTGGTTACACACGCTTGGATCAAAAGAATTATCTTCGTAGCAAAAGGTTGAGAAATATGGCATATGGGGAGGCAACAACTTATTACAATACTTTCAACAAGAATCAATAGAAAACCCATCATTTTATCATACAGTCCAATTAGATGTTGAAGAACAAATCACAAATATTTTTTGGGCTGATGCAAGAATGATAATGGATTATGAATACTTTGGTGATGTGGTTACCCCTGATACTACATATAGTACCAATAATGCATATAGACCTTTGGCTGTTTTTGCAGGATTTAACCACTTTAGAGGGGAGGTGATTTTTGAAGTTCTTTATGACGAGACTTCATAATCATTTGAGTGGCTCTTTAGAGAAATTTTAAAAGCACATAAGAATAAAAAGCCTCAAACTCTTTTCACGGATCAAGATCATGCCATGGCTAAAGCTTTACCACAGGTAATGCCTGAAACATATCATGGTTTATGTTCTTGGCATTTGATGCAAGATGGCATAAAACACCTTGGTAATTTGATGAAGAATGAGTCTCATTTTTTGAAAGACTTTAGTTTTTGCATGTACAAATGTTCAAAGGAAGCTGATTTTCAAATAGCATAGGATAAATTGCTGATGAATACAATCTTCATGATAACAAATGGTTAATAGGTGTGTACAAAGTAAAGGAAAAATGGGAAAAATATTATATGAAAAATACTTTCACTATTGGAATAGCACACAACTTAGTGAAA